GATATTTTTTTTTTCAAAATTTTATAATATTTTCAAATTTATATTTTATTCAAAAATAAAATCATTATTGTTTTCTTAAAAACACATAAAATCATATTATAACATCGACAGTGACAAATAATAAAATAGAACATTAAAATCGAGATGTGTCTCGTTGCATTGCGTGAGTACTCTTCTAGTATATGATATATATATATATATATATATATATAAACAAAAATATGTCATTGAGCGGTATTTAACACATTTAAATCTTATTAAAATACATCAATTGAGAGAGGTGAGGGATCGATTTGTTAAGAATCGATTGACAGAAACGATCAATTAAAGTTAATCGAATGAGACTGGGGGTTTATAAAACAATAAGAGACAAATAAAAGGTTAGTTTACCTCTTACCATATATGAGGACAATAAGAAATAAGTGCTTCTAAAAAATTGAAAAAAATAAACAGTCTGAATAACCCTACTTTTTAACGAATCAAATATAAACGATTGACAAGAGCTTTAAGAAAAACAAGGCATAAATCTCATATGTTCTTCTTCTCTTAGTTTATATAAAACTTTTTTCAAAAAGAACTCAGGGGACAGCTGCTCCCTCTCGTTCCTATGTGGCTCCGCCACTGTCTGCCTTCCCACGATCCCAACTTGGGTAAAAAGGAAAGATGCATTCAATTACAAGACTTTCTTATCTCGTAAACCTGATAGTATCCGTGAGTAGATTAGAGGGACCGGTGGTATGGGACCCCGTTTCATGGTTCAGTCGTAAGGAGAAAGAATCACGTTTCTGAAGGGTGCCAATTATTATATATAAAAAATACCAAACCTTTTTGGTTATATATAATAATTATTGGTGTTTATTTATTATACAATTGTTAATTTATTAATTAATTTAATATAAATTAGAATGACGATTTGTACATAAGAATATTTGTCTTGTAAGCATATGACACATGCCTTTTTGTATTAAACTACAACTAAAACAACTCACTCTTGTTAATTCTCACATGGACTCATACAAAACAACTATTATTCCTCTACTTAAATTTAGTGACGTAAGCAACAACTTTATAAATAAAAAATATTTTTTTTTTTTGTAAAAATAGTTTTTTTCTGGGACCATGTATACTGGGTCGTCTACTAAACACTTACCTTGTTACGCGGGTATGGATTCAATTATTTTACCGCTTGAAAATAGAAGGATTGAGAATTTTACCCGATATAAGGGAAGATAAGGATTGAAAGTTTACCCGGTAACCGCTTATCAGTTATAAATACTTATCATCAATCTATTTTGATGGTAAAAAATGTTGCCTCATAATATGAGTGAGAGTTGTAATTCTTACCAATAAGCGTTTGATAAACAACCCCTTAAATTATTCATATGGTATGCTTTTTATAATTAATGTCATGGATTATTTGCCCTAATTAACTCTATTGGAAAACAAAACTATTAAGAGGGCTAAGTAGGGTATTTTAGTCTTTTCACCTATTTTCCATATAAATATATATTCAAAACTAAATATATGAGTTGTTCTAACTAGGGTGCTCAAAGAAGTGACCAACCCGACCAATCGGCCAACCGGAAAAAACCCAAAAAAGAGCTCAATCTAAGATAACTTAACACATAGTTGATACGAAATTAAACCAACTTGCATCTATTGGATTGTAATTAGGTTATGGTCATTTAAACCCAACCCAACCCGATGAACCTGATGTCTTTTTGTACTATGAATTTAATATGATTGTTAAATCCTTGATTAACATTATGTGCACGTTAGGCATTAAACCAACTTGTAGTTAGCTATACTCAAAATTATATAATTTCAACCGAAATTTTACTTTCTTATTACATGAACCTTCAATTTTTTTTTTGAGTTTGTTAGCTTTTTTGTATGTTCTCATTTTGATTTTACTTCGTTTAAATATACATGCTTAGCTAGATTGTTAAATGATATACCAAAATTTCAACCTGACTAACTCGACCCGAACGGTTTGGATTGGGCTGGGTTATAGTTTTACTTGGTTTGGGTTGGGTTGGGAAAATCATAAACATTGGGTTGAGTTGTTCAAATGTCTTCAACCTAACCCATGTGGAATCCTAGTTCCGACTTCAAACCCCACTACAACCCTACTTTTTATTTCTTACCTCCTTGCTCCTCAACCCAAACACTCAAGAACCTAATTTAGTTCCACATGAACATAAGATCATTGAACAACATTCAAAGAACATTACCTCCTTGTACGACTCTATTGGACAAGTTTGTGCTACAAAACCATATAAATCGAAACCCCTAAATCTAATCAAATTCAAGCAAACAAAACCTTTAGGCGCATGTTCTAGTTGTATCAAATCATTAGAGTGTTTTGCTGTGAAGTTTCAAGTGTAAAAAAGTTGTCTCACGGGTCTCACGAAAACAGACTGGTATGTATGTGTGTGTGTGTATGTGTGTGTTTTCAATGTTTTGAATATGAAACGTGCATGTTATATGTTTACACAATTTAGAACTTTCAAGAATCTTTAATGTATCAATCTTTCATGAAAGAAAATGTCGAGTACGTGTAGGAGATTGTTTATTAAGAAGCCAATAATGATAGATTGGATATCACAAAGATGCAATGGCCAACATATGTAATATATAGTTATGTGTTATGTCAAGTGATCATATAAGCACCGGTACATACTAAGCATCAATGTAATAACCTAAACCCTCGAATTTAAACCTTATAAAAGTCCATACGTGTGGTTGTAAACTTCCTTGCTTTTCAGGGGCTAACTTTGTAAATAGAATATTGAAGGGGAGTAAACCATTCCCCCTTGTTCATTCGGAATCATCCACATTCGAGAGAATAAAAGGAAAGAGAACTTTGGGAGAACATCAAGCTCTCTTGAGGAAATTCATGGAGAATCAAAGGTTTTGGGGTGAAAGAAAGTCTTCTTCTTTAAGGTAAACTTCCTCTTTTAAGCCAGTAATCTCCTCTAATGGAGTTTTTGATTTCTTGTTGAGAGTCTTTGCTACTTTGAGGGATTTTGGTTGAATTTATCATCTCTTTATGTGTAGAGGATTTGTTTAGTGTTTTTCATGAGATTCATTCTAAGAATGCCATTTTGTTGATGAATTCATCAAGGAAAATAAGGGTTTCTAATCTAGAGCATAGATTCTTGGTTTTGATTATAAGTTTGAGTTGATTAATCCATGATTTAAGTGAATGGGATGGAATGAAAATGTTTTAATAGAGATTCTTGATATCATTTGAGCATGAGAATGGTTGTCGATTGTGATTTTTGAGTGAAAATCAGAGCTGTGTAGGAAATGGATGAATCAGTGCAAACAACGCCTGACGCGACCTGCCACGCGACCTAGGGACCGATCGCGGCGCAAGTCGCAATATTTACTATTTCGCGTGTGGTTATGTGTGGTTCATTTCTCGTTTAGATATGGATTCAAAGCTGCGTTCTGGAGAGGTGAAATCAGGATGACAAATGTTGGAAATTGAGTTAATTAAAATGGTATAACACCTCTCATAACTAGTCTAATTAAGGTATTTGGTTTGAACTTTAGTAGCCGTGAGGAAGAGTGGTGGTAGATCGAACACTAGGTGAGTTCCCTTACTCTTTTTCTAAATGTGGATTTGTTGTTTAATATTTCTAAAGCTCTAATTATGGTTTTTTTTTCTTCTTATAACGTGGTGTTTGGCAATGCACAATGGGATTAGTGTACCTTGGTATAGTGGAACCCCTTGACAGTTATTTATTCCACGGGCCATGAATTTCTTTTATGTGCACGCTAGATAGGCATCATCTTGGGTCTTGGTTACGATGTCACAATGGAGTGACAGTGATCTATGAACAATGTGTTAAGCCCGTGCTTTTGAGATTCATTAAACGCTTGGATATTTTGGGTCGTTACAGTGAACTGTTTGATCTCTTGTGTTATATTCTTAAATAAATGTTATGGAGAATTCACTAGATCTTCTGGTTTAACCCTCGTTTTTCAACTTAAATCATTTTCAGGCAGGCGTTTTGTAGAAAGTTCTTCCAAAAGCAAAGGGAAGATGTGAGAGGGTCTAGAGATGGCTTGATATAGAAGAGGAATCTTGATATAGTGTTTATCCGCTGTAAACTATTGTAAAATACTGATTATCTTTGGCTTGTCAGTTGTTGGGTTGTTACTATCAATATACTTGGTGGAAACGTGGTTAACAAAGGTGAACCTCATTTTATTGGTTCAGGTTTGAGATTTCGTTATAAACATGATATGTTGCATTTGCTCATGAGTTTCATAACTTATATACATAATTGTTTTATGGTAAATATTGGTTGCATGTTCTTTGCAATTCTTACCGTTTACAAGTTGTATACAAAAGCAAGTTGAGGAACTTGGTATCTCAGATGCCATGATTTATATATGATATAAATTGTGGAACGTTTAGATGAAAACCATGGACTCACTAAGTGTAACACTGATTAATAGCATTTATGATTACGTTTGTTTACTCGGTTCAGACTAAGTTACGTATTTTAGTTAAACTTAATGTGTAAGAGAGGTTTTTATGTTCTAAGTATTCCGTTGCGTATGTTTATAAGATGTTTTCTAATGTTATTCAGTGTCATGTATTATGTTAAAGCCATCATAGAGATGTTACTGGAACAAACATAAGATGTAATAATATTACGAGGATAATAATTAAAGTTTCAAACATATTCATTTACATTTTTACATTTTTACATTATACATTATTACAAATACAGACAAAATTTCTTATTATTATGTATCCTAGATAGCATAATTGAAATCTTAACAACCATACCCTTCTTTTTATATAAAAGAAAAAAATAGAAAGCGTTTTTGCTTTCTAGTCGTTTCTTGCCTTCACTTTTGCACCAAGATCATGCATATTCACGACTACCGAAAAATTAAGAGAATCCCTCACCAGAATGATGAATCCCGAGCAATATACAACTCTCAGTGCATGACGTATAGCTCCATATAGCACTTCCGCTTTACATTTAAAAAATGTTGCTCACGGAAGTATTCTTGATCACCAAGTATTTCAGCAAATAACGCATGCATTTGGATTCTCCTCTATGCTGTGGTGATGTGGTTGGTAGTTGTAGTTGGTGTAAACCGGAGGGTAATATGGTCTATAATTATAAGGCGTAATCATCCCGACCGGTGGCTGCGGTAGTGCACGTTTCTTTTCTTCCTCCTTACCCTCTTCTTTCTTCTTCGACTCTTCTTTCTTGCCCTCTTCTTTCTTGCCCTCTTCTTTCTTCGGCTCTTCCTTCTTCTCCGCCTTTCCTTCCTCTTTCTTTGGTTCTTCCTTCTTCGGCTCCTCTTTCTTCTCTGGCTCTTTTGCTGGCCCTACTGATATTATATTCGTTGTTGACCAGAACTTTCGGAGCTTGCTAACAACAGTAATTGGATCGACAGATCCAACAACTGTCAACTTCCCTTCCTTCATGTTCATGGTGATTGAATCAATCCCTATAGATGTACGATCCACCAGTTATATTCAGTTATTTACCAACAACGGAAATAAAGTTCTTTCTTACATAAAAGAAAATTTACGTATTTCAACACCCGTGAAACCACCCTCAAAACCAACCCTTTTTTACTGTTTCCATGAAAAGAAGATCGTAAAATATTAACTTCCTATTTTACCCTTTTGGTTCACCAACCTCTCACCAAACAAATTTCACTTGCCCATTAAGCTAGGGGCCAAAAGAGAATGCCAAATAGGACCATTCAGCCACATCATTCTTGTTGAAAACAAATTACAAAATTCACAAAATAAATATAATAATTTTTTTTTTATTTTAATCTTTAATAAAAATAATATTCTTAGATAATATTTTAAAACTAATCGATGTTTATTTATTAATAATCATCATAAATATAAGTAATGTAGATTTTTTTAATAACATAATATTCTTCCATTTTGTCTTGTCATTTTAATTATTCAACTACCACTCGAATGTTTTTATTAATCATATATTAAATCAAGTATTTTTTTTTTCATAATTATTTATAATTTTTGAATACCTTATAATAAATAGAGGGAGATTAATTTACTTACTTTAAATATTTTAAAAACTTATGAATCATCTATTTTATGTAGTATTCATGATAAAATAATTATAAATATTGTTTATCATAAATATATATTACAACATTAATCATGAATACTACATAAAATAAATGGTTCTCAAACTTTCACAATATTTAAAGTTCCTACGTCAAACCATCAGGAGAAAGTACTTTTAATAAAATAGTATTATTCTTTATAACCTTACTTTTTTGCTTTTTTGGAAATTCATGTTTCAATAGCAGCAGTACTGCATAAAATACAACTGTTTGTTGTCGGGAATGCTACTAAAGATCAACAAATGACAAGTCCATGTGGAGTAAGGAAAAAGTAATTCAACTAAATCATGGGAATTTTATTTTCTATTTTTTTATTAATTTGGATATTTAACCCGCTATGCGAGTCGACTAATTCCAAAACGACCACCTGTTTTGCAAATAACCCGGAGTCACCTTCAAAAAAGGTATGGTTTTTCACCTTCAAAATAGATTAGTTTTTTAACCAGAGTAAAAAATTGATTACTGATAACGCTTTCCTGTGTATTCATACTTGAACCAGTTGTGTATTCGAACGGTTTCTTTAACATAAATTGATGTCGTTTAGAGAATTATTATCGAAAACCCTCTTTGATTTATGAACAAAATACGATCAAAACAACGAAATTAAACCAAGAAACTCAAAGAATCGCTGTAAATTTTTTGATTATGGTTACCTGAAAGAGCAGATACGATCTTCAAAGCCCTTCTCTTGTCTTTATCATCGTGCAAATCCAATTTCAGAATGAACTTCTGGAATCAAAATTCAAAAAGGGAGTCAAAATACATGAAGTTACAAAGATCTGCAGAGTTCAAAAGCGTTTCAGAAATCAAGAAAATGCTCCCAAGAGTTTAAAAAACAGAGTAAACAAGAAGATGTTTACATAATGTTCAGAAGAAAAGAGATCTGGGGATTCTGTATAGAATTTGAAATCAAGAACCTGGTTTTGAATTCAAAAACAAAAACAGATGTTTTCAAAGTTTTCTGAAAACAGATTTGCGTTCCATTTTACAGCTAGAAATAGAAAACCCCATCAAGAATCTGAAGGAAAAAAAAAAGCAAAAACATATCGATTGTAAGTTATTGGAAACAGCATATTCGAAATTCCAATTCAGAACTAGAGATCGTAAACCAAAAAGAGAATCATTAAACATCGTAGAGATTCATGGAAACAGAAAGTAGGATGAAAACGTGAAGAATCAAAGGAAGGAATCGAACCTTCATGTGGGTATCTTGAATTTGGGATCAGAGTCCAGAAAAGAAAAAAGGGTGAGTTGAGAGAGAGAGAGAGAGAGAGAGAGAGAGGGAGGGAGAGAAATGGTGGAAATGGAAATGGAAATGAATAATGATTTCGTTGAAAAAAGGTAGAAGATTTATGGACAGAAGTATGAAAAATTCGAATCATAACAAGAATTTGCAGAGTAGGAGAGAGAAAACAAAACCACTTATGAAAGAGTTGCTTCACTTGTATTTTTATTTCACAATTTAAAATTTATTGTATCTAAAATTGTTACATTTCCACGTCGACTGTACAGGGGTGTGCATCGAGCAGGTCGGATAGGTTTGGATGTACAAACCAAAAATACAAATTGGATTTTGGATGTGGAAATCAAGCCCTAAATTCTGGGTTTTCGATTTCTTATTGCTTTAGGTTTGGGTTAGGGTCAGTTGGGTTCGAGTGTGTATTATATGCAAAAAAATAGAAAAAATTAAAAATAAAAATAAATCAGAAGGGTGGTGTCTGATTGGTTTGATCTTGGTCCAAAGGTCAAAAGTAACTGCAACTCTCAGGTTCAAATCCAAGGAGGAATAAAAATCCCCTTATGGCCACGGAGGTTCAAATGCGATGACTTCGGGCTATTTGCAAAGCAGGTGGTCGTCCTGGAATTAGTCGGCTCGCATATCGGTTGGATATCCAGGTTAATCAAAAATGTATATGTATATATTCAAGTGATTATGAGGCTGAATTCAATCGATATTAGGTTTAGAATTTATGATTTTCCAAAGATAACTAGGTAAATAAAAATATTTATATACTATTTTAAATTATATATATGTATATTTTTTGGTTTTCGATGGGGTCGGATGACCAAAAATTATACCTAACCCGAATCTAATATCTCTTCAAAGGTCGGGTTTTGGATTTTCGGATTTAAGGGCGTTTAGATTTTACACACACCTCATTTAATAACCCATAATCAGATATTGGTAACTAACTATCTGCAACTTACGATTTAAAACAAAATTTTCAAATGCTTAAATATTATTTACCGGATGAAAATGGTAAAATTTATAATCTCTATTCATGCAGTAACATCATTTTGAATGTATTCAATTTAAATTGGTATTTTCTCCATTCCAATTATTGTGAAGAGACATTTACAATCGTTAGTCTTGAGCAGTTTATTTGTGAAAATGTATGTAAGTATCCAGGTAACCAATTAAAAACTAATTTTAGATTAAAAAAGTTTCATGTCACTAACCATGTCAGCAAATAATACTGAGTTAGATACCACATCACTCGCCACATCATAATGATAACCGGTTAATGCTTCAACCTGGCACCCATGTACTTAAATGTTTAAAACTTTACATCTTAGGTACCAACATGAAAGTTCTGAAAATATGCTACACAAAATGGGAATCAAGTTAAAATACGTTATTTTTTCATGCAATTTGTACTATAAAAAATTGGCATGGAACATTAGAAAACAGAAAAACATTTAGAGTACCAACAAGGTAAACAATAAAGACTCCAATGGAGTGTTGTCTTGGTTCACGTATCACAAAAATTTACTACAAACACGTCAGTAGATGATAAGAGTGTCAATTTTAACTCTAGCAACACATTGATTGCAATTGAATTACTTTAGCCACATTCGCAAGATTTCTATTATACTCGTCGGTTTTAGCCAAACAGATAATATTTTTTTCATAACTGTTTTAAAATATTAAGTTTGAATCTCAAATTTAAATATATTTACTGATAAACTACAAGACGTACTAGAAAAAACAAAGCACAATTTTTACCATCTTCGTTACTCTTTTTTTTTCAAAAATAAACTTTTTTACATGTTCAGCGTTTCATAAATATTCTTAATTAGGGTTTGGCGGAACCAAAATAATTGAATCAAGACAGGAACCAACTAACTGAAATCGGCTATAGTCGGCGACTTTTTGTCATATACTTTTCAATAAAAACCATTTCTAAGTCATAAAGTATCCAAAAATTATCCGTTCAGTTTAATTCAAATGAAACATTGAACCAATATTTCTTCTAACTTGCAATGATATCGTTTTGGATCTACAAATTTCGAACAATAAAACCCCTGATTTGTGTTTGATTCATGGTTCCATGAGATCAAACTATTTCATAGCAATTTTATGACACCCCAAAATGGGAAGCTAGAAAAAGGAGGAGGCATGAATGCTAGAGAACTTGAACAATGAAGTTCAGGGGGGTTAAAGTAAGAAATAATTAAAGTCAAGGGTTTAACCAGAAAATGGCACAAATACATTCAAATGAACTTGGTGTGAGGAGTTGGAGGGTGGCAACCCTTGTGAGGACCAATATTCAAAGGAAATAACAAAATCAATTGCCATTTCACAAAAGAAAGTCCACATATAAGTCAATGAATTGAAAGAAAATACAAGTGGAAGGAAGTCAATGAGTTCTTTGTGTTCAAGGAGTGTTCCTTTGAAATTAAGGTGCTAGTTGTATGATTCTTCGGTAAGCTCTGAGTAAGAGTTCGCATGCTAGGTCGTTATGATCAAGCCAAGTGAGCCCAAGTCGCCACACCAAGTCATGTTGACCAAGGTTGACTAGACAAAAAGATGATCTGAGAAATGTAAACTTGAGTTTGATAATATATAGTACTAGTGTGATATGATTTATGTCGGCACTTAGAGGCTCTCCGGCTCACTAGTATGTGGTGAGGGGATTCAAGGAGGTCTGCTTTCATACTGATTTCGTTTGCTTTTGGAACTAAGATTCCAATGGTCAAAAGTACAAGGAGGTCTCAGGTTCAAATCCAGGGAGCGATAAAAATCCCCTTGTGGCTACGGAGGTTCAAATGCGGTGACTCCGGGCTATCTGCAAAGCAGGTGGTCGCCTTGGAATTAGTCGGCTCGCATAGCGGGTTGGATATCCAGGTTAATAAAAAAAAGATTCCTAAGAACAACGGTGTTTGTATATGTTGGAAGCAAGTCTACACTAATTCAGTGCATGTCAGTTCCTATATATGAGATACACATGTATATATGCTTGTCTTTAAGCATGATTACGGTCATCAATGGGCATACTATGTTTTATGTTTTAAATCTTATATATGCTAAAGTACGTTATACTTTTAACGTAATGTCGATATATAACGGAAAATTTGTGGCTTGTACAGGGATACCAATAATGTGTTGGTGGGAAATCACAGAATATGAATCTTAGTCGATACATATATCAGAAGTGGTACTTTTTTTCGAATTAGTATATGTTAATCAAGACATTCTCGAAGACACCTTTAAGTTTAAGTAGTTATGAACAAAGCAATGAAGCCCCCAACATGCCAAGTAGATGTATGGGATCTCGTTTGCTTTGTTAATCTCCTAGATACATTGTAATGTCTTTTAAGGTTAAAATAATGTAGCTACATTTATGCCTGGGAAATTGACCGAAATGACCAATTCTCCTATATGATTTGGTCTCCTAGTCATTCTTTCCTGGTTTTACCCAAATGTCACTACATCCGTAAGTGGTACCTCCCACCTAGCTAAAAGACAAAAAAAAAAAAAAAAAAARAATTTACAAGTTCTATCGAGGTTAGCAAGTGGTACCTCCCCCACTTGCTAACCTGGGCAAAAATTGTGAAGGTGCCACTTGCGGACCTAGGTATAAATTGTTATTTTTTGACTTTTAACTAGGTCCACAAATGAAGAAGATACTATTTGCAAAAGTAGTGACATTTTGGTAAATAAATAGAAGAATGATTAGAAGACCAATTCAAATGCTATTTCGACCAATTACCCTATATATCCATCATTATGATGTTAATTAGAGTTCTTATCGTTATTTAATATTAGACTCGGTTTATAATAATCAACGCACCCATTTATCTTTACTAGAATGATACTCGTGCAATGCAACGAAATAAATCTTTATTTCAATGTTTAGTTTTTATTCTGTCTTTATCGAGATAATACGATTTTAAAAGTTTTTTTTGTCAAATGAAATATAAATTTGAAGATAGTATAAAAATTTGAAAAAAATTAAATCGATATTAGTATCAAATTAATTATCTAATAGTTCTCGTTTTTTTATGTAACTTTTTTAATTCAATAATTAATATTTTGTTAGAACTCAATGATTATCTTAATTATATTTTAGATTTTCTATATTTAAAACATATGTTTATCATGTATTTGATTATGTTTATCTGCAGTTAGTTACACGAATTTATAGATAGAGCTTTAATAAGTTGTACATACGCAAAATTACTTGTAATCTAGAATTTTAAGTAATATGCATTAATAAACAGTATTATAATCATAAAAAATTGTTTTTAAGAATTTATGTCAAATGTTTTATAATATAGTATAGATATATTATCTTAGGGGCCGTTTACCCAAATACTTATTGAGAGGAGTCAATACTATAATCTATTATTACCATATGAGATTGTAGTATATTAAAACGGTACCGTATGCAACAATTTACCCGGTGAACGCTTACCCATGTAATAGTCATCACCATCACTTACCAGGTAAGACTCTCTATTCATGTCATCGCTCTTACCAGGTAAGGTTTTCATCCCTTATCATATGCATCAAGTGAGGAAAGTAACCCGATCCACACTTTTCGAGTAACTATTTAATAAACTGAACCTTAGTTTTTTAACAGTCGCAAGAAAGAGGGGTGGTTGGACATGCTCAATATTGAATTTCAAATTAATTTATGTTTATATTCATCCATCTTTTGATGTTAGCTTCTAATTAAAGTACCAAAATAAATTATTTTTTAAAATTTATTATATATATACATACATATATATATATATATATACATACATATACACATATATATATATATATATATACCTTCTTTTGAGAATCCATTAAATTATGATAACCTTAGAACTTGTAATAACATCATGTGTAGAATCTAATATATTGATTAACATATATTTATTTTACAATATGTTTATTTTACATGTACATGGTTCACAGTGTAAACTTTTGGCGTGTTCAATATTCTAAAAAACGTGCCTTCGGCGCCACCATGACACCGAGGCTCAACACTACCGCCACGTTAACCCCTTTGGCGTGGAGATAA